AAAGAAAGAAAAACAAGGGGCCAGGGAGATAGCTCAGTGGAATAAGCACTTGCCTGGCAAGCAAAAGGACCTGAGTTCAGTCCCTGGTTCTGAAAAAAAAAAAAAAAGCTAAGGGGCTTGTGACTATATGCAAGACACCTCAAAACGAGCACAGAACCCTCTCCAGATTCTCAGCACAAAAAAAATGGTATTTGCGGTAATGGATATATCAGCTACCCTGATCTGAGCACTGCATGTGGCATACAGGAATTAACAATGTTACACTGAAGCTGGGATGGTGGTGCATGATTATAAGCCCATCACTTGGGAGGCTGAGCCAGGAGGACAGCCACAAGCACAAGGGCAACCCAGAGTACATAGTGAGTTCAATGTCAGCTTGAAGTACACAGTGAGACCCTATGTTAAAATATAAAATAAGCAAACAAGTTAAAATAAAATCACACTGTACTCGTAAATATGTATGTTTATTGTGGGTCAAAAAAAAAATATATATATATATGGAGATGTTTTTAGAGACAGTGTCTTACTGTGTAATTCAGGCTGGTTTAAACTCAGCAGGTAGCCCAGGCTGACTGGAACTCGAGGTCATATTCCTGCCTCAGTCTCCCAAGTGCTGAGAATACAAATGTGCCAACACACCCAATCCTAAAAATGAAAATATTATTTTTAAAAATCACTACTTAAAAGTTCTCAACTACTGGAACATGGCAGAGTGGTTTAGAGGCTCTCTGAGATTTATACTGGAACATCAGAAAGAAAAGAAAGTGGGTCCCTTAGGACCCACCAAGGGTCTGTAGTGACAGCTGAAGCCCATGGGAAGGGTGAAGAGTTCAAAGGGCGCTTTCTCCAAGCCCTACCTCACTGTATGGGAGCGGAGGCTCAAACCTGCAGGTGTGGCGACTACTGGCAACCTCACAGGCCTCCATGGAGATGCATCAGTGGAACAAAGCACCCGACTGAGCACAACGCAGTGCCTGGATCAGATTTCCCACAGGACAGGGCAGCTGCCAGTAGCCATCCTTGAGAGGAGCTAACTAAGTTAGGAACTCAGCGCAGCTATGGGATGATCCATCTAGCAACTCCCAGTATAAGGCTGAGGCAGAACCAAGTTTTAAGCCATCAGGAAGTCAAGGAAGGGGCCGAGGACATGGCTCAGCAGAGTAAGAGCTTGCCTGGCAAGTGCAAGGGCCGGAGTTCAATCCCCAGTTCCACCAAAAAAAAAAAAAAAGGAAGTCAAGGAGCCAAGTCCAGACTGGCAAATACACACACAGTACTGCAGGCAGAACAAACTGGGTTCCACCATCACATCCAGAAACCAGTTTGAGGATGTGAGGGCGATCTGGCTGCGACATCTGTCACCCCACTGCTAGCCAGGGTTGATTCGGCTGATGTGGCTGGCGAGGCGGGTGTCCCTGTCCTCCCTCAACGATCCATGTGTGTCCCTCCCCAAGCTGCACGCTTGGTCGAAGACGACGACCACCCCCGACAGAGAAGGAGCACTCCTCGGTCAGGGGTATACGAGTAGCTGCACTCCCCAGCTAGAACCTCCAAACAAGCTCTCAGAAACCAGTGTGAACTTCAGTGGACTTAAGGTACGCACTTGCTGGGATTATCCACTACCTAACGCACGTGCATACATACCCCCCAAATCTACAGCTGGCTTGCTGATTAATCAACTCAAATCTGCATTCCTGTCTGCTCACTGCAGCAGTTAACAGCTGACACACACACCTTGGACTTTTTTTTAAATTCTCGTCCTTTTTTAGATTGTCTTATCTTTGTTTTGTGTTGTTTTCTTATCTCTTCATTGGTTTCCTTTTTATAAATGTGAACAAATATTCATAGTTTTTTGGTTGTTGTTCTTTATCTGGTCTGTTCCTGTTTCTCTTTCTCTGTCTTATTCACCAATTTCCCAAACTCTGCATAATCTTTGTCCAGCAGGGCTTCTAATCTCTTCCTCCTCCATTTCTGGACCTTCCCCCCCCCCCCCCCCCAGCCCCTTCTAAATTTTCTCCCAAGGTAAAAATCACCATACTGAGGGCATATTTACTGTATACAATTTTCTGGTTATATAGCCACACATAGTTCACACAGTTAAAGGTAGCAAATTAATACTTAACTTCAGTTTGTCATTTTCTAGGCTGTGTTTGATGCTACTGTTATTGCTTATTATACCACTTCAGCCAAGTGACATAACTGTTCTAACCAGCTGTTCTTTCTTGTGTGCCAAGACTGAGAATGCCTAGAGATCATAAACAATACTACAGGCCAGTGCCAAAGAACCAGAGGCTTGGGCCAAGTAGACAGCAACTTCTTATCCCCAATAAATTGAAGAGGCAGGCTCGTGCAACAGACTCAAAACTCAAAAGCCAGTGACGTTTGGGACACATCTGAGAAGTAGTCATTTCCTAAAGGTTCTAAATTCCAGCAATAAAGCTACTTGCCATAAGCAACTTACCAGCATCAACCTAGGAATTAAAGTAAAAGAAAACAAAATGAGAAGACAACCAAGATGCAACCCCAGACTTGGAGCTCACCAATGGCAAATCCAGAAGGCAATGAAGTAGAACAATTCAAAAGTCACCCACTTGAACTTTCTAAAGTAGTAACAAAGCAGATCAATGAGGTTCTAGGAAAAAAAATCAAGTCAGAAATAATTTCTCAGAGAACTACAGAGATGGTGACCAAAATGAAAGGAATGGTTAGTGACTCAAGAGCATATACAGATATTAAAAAAAAAAAAAAAAAAAAAAAGACACAGGAAAATGATGGAAATCACGACTGCCCACCATAGGAAAGAAATAGAATCCACTGAAAGATTTAAACAGGTAGCTGGGAGATTAGTAACTCCACTTAAACATACTCAGCAGAGTAAGCCATTGTGAGGGCAGAATATCAGAAATGGAAAACAGGATTGTGGTTAGCAACCATGAAAAGAAAAATTTCTGAAAAATAGCAAGAAACCAAAAGCAAAATAATCCAACAATTTCTAGATGATGCAGACAATAACAGGACTGATCAGAGACAAATGAAAAAACAGGAGATAGCGCAAGCAACATAAAAACCTGTTCACAGAAGTAATGGCAAAAAACTGCTCAAGAACGGAAAAATTATCTGATAAATAGATAAATAAGGCATACAGAACTCCAATTAGCCATTATTTCTTAAAAGAAAAAAAAAAAAAAAAACTTGAGGCGGGGGAGATGGCTCAGTGGAAAAAGCGCTTCCCTGGCAAGCGCAAGGGTCTGAGTTCAATCCCCGGTTCTGCAAAAAAAAAAAAAAAACCTACACTGAGGCAAATAATAGTCAAGATTCCAGAAACTCAACACAAGACTAAAACAGTAAAACCTGTTAGAAAAAACAAACAAATCATCTAAAGAGGAAAGCCCATGAGAATCACACCATACTTCTCAAGACAAATCCTCAAGTTAAGGAGAGCTTGCAGTGAAGTATTTCTTTTTTTTTTTGGTACCAGAAATCAAACTCACAACCTCACACTTGCCAGGCAGATGTACCACTGAGCTATATCCCCAGCCCACAATGAAGTATTTCAAGCCCTTAGAGAAAACAACCTCCAACTCAGATTGATGTACCCATCAAACTAATTATTCAAATTTGATGGAAAAATGAGATACTTCCACAAAGAATACCTGAAGAGATTAATTACCTCTGAGCTAGCACTCCAAAACGTTCTGAAAGACATCCTAGAGATAACAAGGACTACAATTCCATGAAGCCCAACAGAATGCATCTGCCAGGTAAGCAATTAAACGGAAAAAAAGGGCAAAAATAACAACATATGAAAATAACATGACAAGGATGAATCAGTACATTCAGCTATAATCATCATTAATGGTCTCAATTCACCAATTAATCAAAAGAAAGACTGGCTAATTGGATCAAGAAGCAAGAGTCAGCGATATGTTGCATACAAGAAACACGTTTAATTCATCAAAATTAAGGAAAACAGGATTCCATGTTAACAATAACTCAGAAAAAAGTAGGGTGGCTATTCTGTGTGCACACAAAGTGGATTTTAAGCCAAGCCTGATTAAGAAAAACATAAAAGTCACTACATACTAAGGGAACAATCCAAGAGGAAAAGACAAGGATCATAAATATATATGCATGAAATACTAGTGCACCCAGATATACATAAAGCTTAATAGACATAGAAAATCAAGGGGCCGGGAAGATAGCTCAGTAGAATAAGCACTTGCCTGGCAATCACAAGGGCCTGAGTTCAATCCCTGGTTCCAGGAAAAAAAAAAAAAAAATCAAGTAAGAGCTTTTTTTGCCACCTTAGGATCACAATCCTTTAGACCACAACTCCAGAGGGTCCGATGCTCTAGGACTTTCTTCACTGAAAAGGCTAACTGTATTACTGGTAGGCACTAGAGGCCTTCAACTAAGCTGCAAAGCTCTAAAGGAGAAATATTTTAAGTTCCCTGAAAACTGTGACAAGTATGCTGAAAGATTTTGTAATGGGGGGCTTGCAGGTTAGCTCAGTTTTTTAAGCACCTGCTTCAGCAAACCCACCCAGGCACAGGGGACCATGGTTCAATCCCCAGCTCCATGTGCCTTATCAGACGTGCCCTTAAGGCAGCCTGAGCCAGCCAAAAAAAAAAAAAAATTCTTCTCAACTTTGTGGCCTGCCGGAGAGCTCAGTTGTTTAAAGGGCCACTTGGGCAAATGCAGTCAGGCACACAGGACCAGAGGTTCAATCCTCAGTTCCACAAGCCACTCCAGACCCACCATTAAGGCAGCCTGAACTAGCCAAAAAAAAAAAAAAAAAAAAAAAAAAATCCTCCAATAGG